TGGTTTACTGGCCCCCAGTCTATTAACAAGTGCAATGATCTTTTCATTCAATACTCGGTGCTGAGACTTCGTCTAGGCGGAGTAATTGGCCACGCGGGGAGCGCATTGGTGAACACTGTTCCCAACACCCGGGTCAGCGCGTCAGATGGTTGAGCAATCATCACGCCAGCATCCAACGCACGTGATGAAATTGCAGCAATTAACGACGCGAATATCGGCCATCACACCACGTGCAACGATCCCTGATGAAGGAGAGGGAGCCGCGAATATTCATAGGTGTGCGGTAGCATGGCTACTGCATCCTATAAATACTGCAGCCGCATGTGCATGAACCACCCTTATCTGCTTATGTCTCTGATGATGGATTCGAGCAGGAATCCGAAACGTCAGGCTAATAAAGCTCTTGTCCCTGCGATCGTGTCTTCTTCTTCTTCTTCTTCTTCAAGACTGCTTCCTGGGACTCGTCTCTTTGCTTCTATTAACATAAGTTTGTTATGCATGTTCTCTGCTTCTGGAGTCCATTTTGGTATTTGGATAGCAAGCTTTAGCTTTCTGGGATTTGCATAGGTTCGCTTCTCGTGATCATCGTCATGGCTTTGCCGAGAATGCTTGTCAAGCTTCTTAGACTGTAATTTGTCGTCGGCACCCCGTTGCCGCTTTTATATAAGGCAATGATATGTGTCAGCTTGCAAATGATAGCAAGTGTTCCACTGTCCAATGATATTTGAAAAAGTATCGACATAAGCCCTGCGTCGTTTGAATTCGATTGGTATTTGCTCGTTTTCCTGAGTTTTGATATGTCGGTCATCCGTCCCATTCCGAAGCTACGCAGCGAGAAATCGGCTTAGAAGTGCAATTAACCTTCGTCTTCGCACATCGTTATATTAAAAATATTCTTCCTCTTCACTTAGTCTTGCAGGAAAGCGCTATCTGGAGCTTTACGAAGTATCTGGCTCAGTTTAGTTCAAATTCCTACGAAGCCCGACTCCAACGTGCTTCCGAAGTCAGTCTTACATCATTGAAGTGAACAGAAGCCAGCAGAAAGCAAAGACCTATTGAAAAGCCATCTGAGAAGGCTACGTCGTCTGGTTTGGTAATAAGGGCGTAAGTGAGAGGTTTGTGGTCGGTGTGAACCGAAAAATCTCTCCCCTCTACGAGATGTCGAAAATGACGAATGGCCAAGTAGATGGCAAGGAGTTCGCGAGAGAAAGTACTGTAGCGATTCTGCGCCGGCTGTAGCTTCTGTGAAAAGAAACACAATGGCCGCTACTGGTTATGCACCGGTTGATGCAGGATAGCAGGATTGGAAGCGTCAGTGGTCAAGATCAGCTGTGCGTGGGGGGCGGGGCTGAGATGGTGAAGAAAAGTGGCATCAGCAAGAGCTTTCTTAGCTGCCTCAAAGGCTGCGTGAGCTGCTGTAGAAAGTTCGATCGGCTTTGCTTTAGACTTCAGAAGGTCAGTTAAGGGAGCTAGGGTCGCTGCACAGTGAGGTATAAAACGTCGATAATAGTTGATAAGGCCTATGAAACGCCGCAGCTGAGCTAATGTCCTGGGGCCAGGGAATGACAGGAGGCTCTGCACCTTCTCTAGCAGCGGTGTAATTCCATGCTGGTCGACGTGAAGAGAATCAAAGATATATTTGTCAACGTTTAATTGCCGGCCAAATTGCTGGAAACGTTGGAATATCTGACGTAAGTGCGAGGCATGTTCCTCTGCCGAATAACTTGCGACCAGTATGTCGTCAATGTAGACATAAGTGAATTAGAGACCCCGCAGGACCTCATCGATGGAGCCTTGGAAGAAGTGGGCCGCGTTGCGCAAACCAAAAGGCATGCGAAGGAATTCGAACAGGCCGAAAGGCGTTGTGACGGCGGTCTTGAGGATTTCTTCTTCCTCGACCGGAATCTGGTGGTATACTCTCACGAGGTCTATTTTGGAAAAAATGGTTTTTCCAGCTAGCGTGTGAGAGAAATCATGAATATGGGGAATAGGGTATCGATCGAGAACAGTGGCTCTGTTGAGAGCGCGAGAGTCACCGAATGGTCTCCAATCATCAGTCGATTTTTGGGCACCATGTGGAGGGGAGAAGCCCATGGGCTGGAGGAAGGACGAATAGTTCCTAAATTAATCATAAGCTCAAGTTCGTTCCTTGTTATCCGAAGTTTTTCGGGGTGAAGACGACGAGGGTGAGCGTGAACAGGTTGTCGCGTGATGACGATGTGGTGTTTAACCATACGCTGAACCTCTCCGGTGAACTGACAGGGCTTAGTGAGGGACGAGTAGTCCTTCAAAATGTCAGCGAAAGACGAGCTTGGTACGCTCAACTGGATGCTAACAGAGGGCTCAGAAGCAGCGATGCCAAAGACAAAGAGTGTGGTTGTGATATCGACAAGTTTGCAATGCTTGAGGTCGACTGCAAGGGCAAAATATGTCAGGAAATCTGCTCCAATAATGGGAGATTTAACGTCGGCCTGCACAGAAACCCACCGGAAACGTCGCCGAAGACCGATGTCAAGTGTGAGCGAGCGTTGGCCGTAAGTGTTGATGGTGGCGTTATTGGCAGCCTGCAATTAAAACTGCGAAGGCTTAAGGTGATGGCGCCTTGGAGGATGGATGACACCGATCTCGGCACCAGTGTCGACAAGGAAACGGAGGCTGCTTGACTCGTCTCTGATATAAAATAGGCGACTGGATCGTGACTGGCCAGCGGCAGTTGTCGCCGTTACTGGCTGGCGCGGTCGTTTCCCTGTGGTGAGGCCTGCAGGTATGTGCAGGGAGGAATGCACTTGCGTGCTTTCGGACCGTAAATACGATGATACCAGCACAGAGTTGTAGAGGGAAGTTCAAGAGACTTACAACGACGGCGCGAGGTTGACTGGTTTCTGGCCGACTGTAAGCTGTTTATAGCAGTGCACATGGTGCCCACTTCTGTGCACAAAAGACTACAGTGTCTTTTAGGTCATCACAGTCGCCCCGGTGGGGACTATTCGGTCGTTTTGAGGGACTTGATGGCGTGGTGGCTCTGCGTTATGATCAACGACAGACTGAGCGCTCCACACAAGAACTGTCGCGTTCTAGTGAAAAAGTGCCTTCTGGGCAGGAAATGGCTACTCTGTCAGATTTGTTGGGAGTCGAGGTCAGTTGAATATTGGCGCATGTCACGCCGACTGGGTAACATTTACTGATCCTGTCGGTATGATTGGCCACTTTGTCTAGAGAGATGCTAATATCCAGCATGGCCAAAACCTGCTGCATGGGAACCGGCAACTTATCTAACCAGATTTGTCGAAAAATGGCGTCGTCCATATGACGACCGGCAAACAATAAACGCGCTTGTCGCATAAGCTGCGATGGTAATTTATCACCCGGCTCTACCTGCGTGAATAATTCCCGTAACATCCGACTGGTCGTTTTGGCCACTCTCTGGATGACGGCATTGTGTAACTGAGTGTACGGGTCATTGGCAGGAATCGGGTCGAGGAGGTCGTCGACATCGACGGCGACGTCGAAGGGAAGACTCTGCACCACGTAAGAGTATCGGGTGCGTTCGTTAGTAATTCGGCTCGTTGAGAAAACCGCCTCAATCTGACGAAACCAAACCCGGATGTTACTCGGTGTAAAAGGGGTTAGTTTGAAGGAGAGGGTATAGACGTCGAGCGAGTCTGCTTTAGGTTCGTTATCGGTCATAGTAAAAAGGAGGTTGCGTAGATGTAGAAAAACGGGGTCATCACTTTTGTAATGTAAACGGCAATTGAAACTGCAAAGAATAATAAATACTTAACTCTAAGTGGGGGATACTGCGTTTCTTACAAGAAAAATAACGATGGCGAAAAGAGTATAAGAAAAACGGCAAAAGGTAAATAACTGACCCAAGAAAAATAAAGCCTTCTCCAGAATCGTTGGCTGTAGGGTGAATGTTCTGGGTAAAATCCCGAGGTGAAGTCAGTTAGTGAGGCTTGTCGCTCAGGTGAATTTACGTCCAGTTAAATATGGCCGAAAGATATAAATGCCTCGTGTCTATTGACTAAAAGCGATTGAGGCGAATGAGTGCAATCAACGAAACAATTGCACCAAGTAGCAGATGGACACTAGAGTCACACTTTTTCTCAACCCGAAACCAAGTGTGTGTATTTTAGCTAATTCAAACAACCGTGCATAAACGCTCAGGTGTACAAGAAAGTGTAGAGTGAAAAATCGAATATGTGCGTAAACCTACAAACTCTAATTGGTGTTTTACGCAGTCATTTGGTGTAGTCTGCCTTTTATTACACTTTCCAATAAAAACAACTACACGGAAGCGACTGCTCCCAGTAAGTTAGAAACATGCCGGAATCCCTGAAGTTTCCTATCCTCAACGTGCCCTACCCTGCAAGGTCGCTCAATGATTAAGTCAACGTCGTGCGAATGGTGACAGCATGTGATATAACTGTAACCTCAACGAGTGGTAATAGAACTTTAAGTGCTCGTTCAACGGCTCTGGTCGACTTTCTTAGTCTTTCTTAAGTTTGCGATAATGATGCCCATCTTTAGCATATCCTAGCATATGCGGGACTCCAGAGTAGGGGTTGGCAAAGAAGAAGTTACAACTGTTACCATGTTTGATTTTGACCTTTAGCATTACGGTTCGTTCTTCCAGGCAGTCATTGAAGGCTAGGCCTTTGATTCCACGAAGTAGGAAATTATTAACATTGTTTGGATCTCTCTGGTTTTCTAGCTGGCCCTAAAGCTCATAGCGGCATTACACATAAGGTAGTTGAGTAGGCCGCAAATCTCTGCAAGTACTTGTTTTACTCATTAAACACTTAGTCTGTCTTCCATGTGGCTGTGTTCGAGCCGTTCACTTATATGTAGTGAAATACCACCTGCATTTGCACTTGTACCGAAAGGTTCCGAAACGCACTTCACTTACTTTCTCCGAAGTAGAATAGTCTAACCCCGAATATCCAAATGTGAAAGTTTTCTGGGGTTCGTAGCACTCTGTCGTGGGTTACGATTCCACTGCACATTTCATGAATGGCTTTAATGAAACTGACAATAGCAAGCTGCATAAAAAGACATGTGAGCATCTCTGAAATTCATAAACTAGAAAACTTTGCAAAAACCAAGTTATTCCCTCCATTTAAATGCCGGACTCGAATAGACCAAATGTTCCTGGCAAGTGGGTGAAGAAAATGAATGTCTCGCCTCTTCTTTCCGTAAAATATGATAAAGTTTATACTACACAGAAAATAAAATAAAAAAGACAAGAAACTGTTACAGCCCGAAGTTTATAGCAAGGCTAATTTAGTGTGGTAACTGGAAAGATGCTCAATCGAAAATCGGCATGCCACCGTGTAGGGATAAGGGTGAGAGCAAGTTTACTGCGAATTCACCCGAGTGGTAGAGACCTAAAAGCGGCCGTTTTCACGTGGATTAACCTGGTGTTTGCCCGCCACGCGACCCCTCAGTGTTGCTGACCCAGTTTTAGGGCACAA